TTACTTTCTACTGTGGGGATTAGTACTATAACCCTGTCTCCGGGTTGAAAGACCCGGAGTATAGCATTCCTGTTATAACTAGCTTTCTGGGCTTCCTGTGCTCTCTCCATATTTTCCCTGACAATTGGCATTATGACCTCAATGCGATCCTGCATTTGTGCCACATGTTCAATAACACTCCTATGGGGCGTGTGTTCCTGTTCCCACGTTTCCTTCGCAACATCAAGGAGACCTCTAGGAGGTCTACCATATAACAATTCAAAAGGTGAGAACCCTGCGGAAGCTGGTGGGACTTCTCTGATAGCAAACATTAGATATGGGAGCAAACAATCCCAATTCTTACCATCTTTATCAATTACCTTAGGAAGCATTGCTTTCAAGGTTTTATTAAATCTTTCCACTAACCCATTAGTTTGTGGGTGATACACTGAAGTTTTCAATTGTCTAATCTTCAACAAGTTACATAGCTCTTTCATCACTCATGACATAAAAGGGGTACCTTGGTCTGTAAGTACTTCTCTAGGTATTCCAACCTGGCTGAACATAAACATTAACTCTCTGGCAATGGTTTTAGCTGAGGTATTTCTTAAATGTAGTGTTTCAGGATAGCGGGTAGCATAATCTAGTACTACCAATATATATTGGTGCCCCCTAGCGGATTTAAGTAAAGGACCAACCAGGTCCAAAGCAATTCTTTCAAATGGGACTTCTATGATGGGAAGAATGAGGGGATTACGGAAAGCTTGGAATGGAGCCTTTCTTTGGCATTCTGGGCATGACTTGCAAAATCGCTCTATAGCAGAGTAGATTCCTGGCCAGTGAAATCTTCTTCGTACTCTCTCCCTGTTTTTTTTCAATCCCAAGATGCCCCCCTAATACATGGCTGTGAGCTAGTTTTAAGACTAGGTTCCTGTGGGATTGAGGTACCAGTAATTGCTCAACCTCTTCAACCCCCCTGCTCTCTACTCGGTAAAGTAAATTATTTCTTTCTGCAAAATAGGGAAGGGACAATTGGGTTTCTGGGTTAACAGGAGTACATTCCACTACCTGAACATTGTTATGGGCAGCTACCAAGGTTTGATCCTCCCATTGGGCAGCCCGAAAATTTCCTGAACGAATACCTAGATGATGGAACTCCACCTCTTCCCTTAGATGTTCTACTTGGGAGGAATTACTTTCATGGTGTTCCCCTTCCTCACCCAAACATACTACAGTGGGTTCATTTTCACTATACTGCTCCAAATCAAATTGTAGAAAAACGTAAAACATTCTCTAAACCCACTGTTTCTGCGTCTACCTCTGTACGCTTATCCTGTTTTATTGCAGTATCTTCCCAAATTTTCCGAAAGAGGGGAAAATCACGCCCCAATACAGCATCATAAGGCAATGATGGTACCACCCCAACTCTATGTTTTATCACCCCTACTGCGGTAGCAAATTCCATCTCGGCCGCGGGGTACGTGTGGGTGTCACCATGTATGCAGTGGTGTATCCTGGTTTTGTGCTGCCCTAGGCAGGACAAAACTCAGGCGCCCCCCTGCCCCTGCACCACCCCCACCCAACCCTTCCCCCCGCCCCACCTTCTAAATACACACAGTCAGACACAAACACACACATACACAAACACACACACTCACAAACACAGTCAGATACAAACACACACTCACAAACACAGTCAGACACACACAGAGTCAGACACAAACACACACACTCACAAACACAGTCAGATACAAACACACACACACTCACAAACACAGTCAGACACACACAGAGTCAGACACAAACACACACACTCACAAACACAGTCAGATACAAACACACACACACTCATAAACACAGTCAGACACACACACACACACAGACACACACACAGACACATACACAGACACAAACACAGTCAGACAAACACACACACAGTCAGACACACAGTCAGACACAAACACACACACACACACTCACAAACACAGTCAGATACACACAGAGTCAGGCACAAACACACACACAGTCAGACACATACACAAACAGACACACTCACAAACACAGTCAGACACAAACACACACACACATACACAAACACAGTCAGACACACACAGAGTCAGACACATACACAGTCAGACACAAACACACATTAACTTTTTTTTTTAATTTAAATCCCCCCCCAACCTCCTTACCTTTGGGAGTGCTGGGGGGGGTCTCTCTCCCTGGTGGTCCAGTGGCTGCAGGTCGGGCTGGCAGGCGGGCGGCTGGCGAGGGAGCACTTCCTCTGAGCTGTCAGCTCAGCTCCCTCGCGCGCCGGACCTGCTGCAGAGTGAGGCTGGGAGCCGGGATATGACATCATCTTCCGGCTCCCAGTCTCACTTTGCGGTGCGCGAGGGAGCTGAGCAGTCAGCTCAGAGGAAGTGCTCCCTCGCCAGCCGCCCGCCTGCCAGCGCCGCCCGCCCGCCGGCTCGGGATGTCTGTTAGCCGCAAGGCTAACTAGGCATTTGCCCTGGGCATTTGGGGGGCGGCGTTTTTTGCCGCCCCCTGAAAAATGCCGCCCAAGGCAAATGCCTTGTTTGCCTCGCGGCTAATACGCCCCTGCATGTATGCATATTATATCCAACACGTGAATTTTATCTACTTGCTCACTCTGAAGTAAAGATCTCTTTACCAATGAAACCTCACTCCCAGAATCTAAGAGTGCTTGCACACTCCTTCCCTCCATATTTACAGATTTGACATGGTTAATATCACCAGTACTTGTTAAAGCAGACATTTGTGTGTATACCAACAATGCACCATGTTTCTCCCCCTCCCCAAATTACATTCCATAGGTTCATCAGTCTGTGGACAGTTACGTGCAATATGTCCAATCTCCTGACATCTATAAAACTTTATCGGTCTCTCAAGGTGGCCTTGTGGCCGGGTTGGGAACCTGGGCACCCAATTTTCCATGTAGTCAGTCTGTCTATGGGTCTGTACAGAATCTTTTTTTTCCATCTTTTTCTTTAAATCCTCCAGAATTCTTTGCAGGTTTCCTGTTACTTTGCAATTTGGCATTGAGGTAAGGCTCTTTACTCTGAGTTTCGTTAGCAAACCGGAATCTCTCTGTCAAGTTCATCATTTCTTCTAGGTCCGTTGGATCCGCTTGACTGACCCATTTCCGTAGCGCTATCGGCAGACTCCTTAGAAAGGGATCCATAACCACTTTTTCAATGATTACTGCAGCAGAGTTGATTTCTGGCTGTAGCCACTTCTGGGCAAGTCTCAAGAGGTCATACATTTGTGACCTAGTAGATTTCTCTGTATCATAAATCCATGCATTATATCTTTGGGCTTGCACTGCAGGCGTAACTCCAAGCCGTGTTAGTATTTCTGCTTTCAATCGGTCATAGTATTGTGCTTGGTTGAGAGGCAAATCATCATATGCTTTTTGGAATTCTCCACTGAGGCAAGGGGCTAATAATCCTGCCCACTGACCATCCTTCTCGGGTAGCAATCCTTTCTAAGGTTGTCAGGTAAGCCTCCATGTCATCAACCTCACTCACTTTATGTAAAAAGTCAGTAACTCTAATCCGGCACCCCCTATCCATAGTAGGGGTAGTCACACTTGAGAGTATGGTTTGTTGCAAAGCACGTGTTAGTTTTACTCTGTCTTCCCGCTGTGTTTCCATAACGCAGTCTATTTGTTTGGCCAATAAACGGTTTGTCTCCTGTTGGGCTGCAACAGCCTGTCGCTGTGACTCCATGAGGCTACTGATCTGAGCCGCTGTTACACGGTTTGTGTCTTGCTGGGTAGTAGTTGCCTGTACCAAGGCTTTTACTAACTCTTCCATCTTTTTTTTAATTTTATTTATTTATTTTTTATTTTTATTTTTTTTTACAGCCACTTGGTAAATACCACAAACCACACCTGCAGGCCTCTGTTTCAAACAACCAGTCTCCATTTGCAGAGTCACAGTACCTTAGGCCTCTATACCCACAAACCGTATAAATGTGCTTTAGATGCCCGCATTCTCCACCATCTTGTGACATTTATGGGCAAAGCAACACAGTCCTCTAGGGTAACAGGTATAGAACAAGTGTCTTATGCGAAAAAAGGTGTGGTTTATTTACATTGTGCACAAAAATCCATGCAGCAATCATTTTGTTCAAAACTGCAGCAAAATAGAAAGGAAAGTCTACAAACAAAATCCTAGCTCAAATTCGAGCACTTACTAAACCAGGGTACTAATCTACATAAATCAACAAACTAAACATTGGTTTCACCAACCTTTGGCACTTTTTCTGGTGCTGCTCTACACAGACCTGCTCTCTCTGCAGGTCAGATTGTATCTCTCTCCTTTCTGCTCTGAGACCTGCTAATTAAAGCCTCAGCAGTTGCTAATTGGGCAGGTGAATGAGTACAGGCTATGGAGGATTCTGGGTCCTAAATACCTTCCTTCTATTACCCTCCCATAGACTCTGTCACACTATTAACAACAAAGATGGGTAGACTAATTATTATTATTATTATTATTATTTTATTATTTATATAGC